TGTCAAGCATATATAAGATAACAGGTAAAAGTATAAACATAATTTGAGTACATGAAAAGAGTAAGTAAAAAAGGAATATTAGGACAGGGACGGTAGGCACGCTGGTGCACTTATGCACGCCCCTTACAGACCTCTTAGGAATGGGATGAGGTCAAATTGACAGCAATATCAAAGGATTGCCTTTGGTAGAATGGAGATTGAGGAATGAGTGAGCCTGTCTTTTTCCTAATATTCCACAATCAAAGCACATTCTTGTAAACATAGCACAGAAAGGACATCTCTCACCTTCTCATCACATTTTATGAGATATCTTGGTATACCTGCAGGTCATATTCAGCAGTGGTCCCCCATGGACTGATGGCAGGGGGGAGGGCATGGTTTGATGCTCGTTCCCACTGCTTGGGCAAATGGAACTTCACACGTTCATCCACTGCTTGCGCAAACTGGTTTCCAATTGTTCACGGATCGATACCAGCCATGGACCAGAAGTTGCGATTCCGATATGCAGTATTTCCATCCTCGGGAAATTATTAGTTTTGTTAGTACAATAGACTTATAGTAGCACCATTGTGCTTTGAAACTGTATGGCCATAATGTCCCAAAGATGCTTTTCAAAAGGCAACTGGACTTTCTTGTTTCCCTTAACAACCCCCCCCCCTGCAAAGATATTTCACTTCTCATCCAAGAAGCTTCTTCAGTTCTGGCTGAATGGTGAGCAATGGAAGTATTTATGTTTCTTAGGAGGAATCTGGTTATTAGCACTCTGAAGTTCGATCATGGGACAACCATGACCTGGATAATTGAGAATCTTCAAAGACATGTATGGCCATAATTTTCATTCAACTGTTTCTGGAAAAGTCTTGACTTCTTTCTATTCCAATGCTTCTATGTCTAAATTAATATAGGTAGGGGCCTGGTCTTTCTACATATAAAGACAAATCATTGGGTGCTGTAACAAGGCCCATTCTCTCATATCCTTAACATATGTCAATCATAATAATAATTAGAATAGAATAGAATAGAATAGAATAGAATAGAATAGAATAGAATAGAATAGAATAGAATAGAATTCTTTATATTGGCCTATGAGGCCCCTCATTTGTGGCGTGCCCCAGGGGTCGGTCCTCTCGCCTCTCCTGTTCAACATTTATATGAAGCCGCTTGGGAAGATCATCCGTGGTTTTGGGGTGCGGTATCATCAGTATGCTGATGATACCCAGCTTTTTATATCCACCCCAAACCAGCCCAGTGATGCCCTCGACGTGATGTCCCGTTGTCCTGGAAGCGGTACGGACCTGGATGGGGAGGAACAGGCTTCGACTCAACCCTGCCAAGACTGAGTGGCTGTGGGTACCGGCATCTTGTTCCGATCGAGATGTTCCATTGCTGACCATCGGGGTGAGGTGTTACCCCCTGTGGATAGGGCCCGCAACTTGGGTGTCTTCCTGGATTCACAGTTGTCTCTGGAAGACCATGTGATGACTGTGACCAGGGGACATTTGCCCAGGTTCACCTTGTGCGACAGTTGCGCCCTTACTTGGACCAAGATGCCCTATGCACCGTTACTCATGCGCTGGTCACCTACCGTCTTGACTACTGCAACACTCTCTACTACCTAGGGCTGCCCTTGAAGACCACTCGAAGGCTTCAGCTGGTGCAGAATGCAGCCACGCGGGTTGTGATGGGAGCGTCCCGACACTCCCATGTTACACCCCTCCTGCGCGGCTTGCATTGGTTACCGGTTGCCCTTCGGGTGAGGTTCAAGGTGCTGGTTATCACCTATAAAGCCCTTCATAGCCTAGGCCCAGGATATCTGTCGGACCCCCTGCAGCCAGCGACAATCCCCAATCGCTTGGTGCGTTCCCACAGACAGGGCCTCCTCAGGGTGCTGTCGGCCAGACAGTGTCGGCTGGCGACCCCCAGGGGGAGAGCTTTCTCTGTGGGCGCGCCCACCCTCTGGAACCAACTTCTGTTGGAGCTCCCGATGGCCCCTGACCTTCGCTTTCCGCTGCAAGTTGAAGACCTGGTTGTTCCGTAGCCTGGACTGACGGGGGGGGGGTTCATGAATTTTAAACTGTTTTAAATTGGGTTTTTAATTTTATATCGTTTTAATAAGGAATTATGCATTTTACTTTGTGAGCCGCCCTGAGTCCTCGGAGATAGGGCGGCATATAAATTGCATAAAATAAATAAATAAAGTGTGATTGGACACACAATGAATTTATCTTGGTGCATATGCTCTCGGAGTACATAAAAGAAAAGACACATTCATCAAGAATCATAAGGTACAACACTTAATGATAGTCATAGGGAACAAATAAGCAATCAAATCATATTAGGAAACAGTCAGTATAAATTATTCATTTTACTCATCTGCACATATATTTGTTTCAGTGCTGGTACTTCTGGTACCATCCATGGAGATGATATGACAATTTCTAGAGAGAAGTGACACCTTTTTTTTTGCAGGGGTATCTTTTGTTCCATTGGTATGAAGGCTCAAAGTAATGGTAGATGCTTCCCTAAAGGAGCAATGTCCATGTTTGGAGAGTCTTGCACCACTAGGAACCTTCCAGCGAGGTTATACAGGAACAATATCATGGTTCTTTGATAAATCGACAAATGCAGGTGGAATAAAGTTTTGTCTTGTGGTGTCTATGGTAGACTTTCTGGAGTTGGTTGCATTCAAAGGGACTCTCTGCCTATATATTTCTCAAGCAACTACATGTCTTTTGCCCAGTTCCTTGAATTGATACAACAGTGTGGATATGAAATGAATAGAAATCAGATACATTTCTTGTTTGATGTCTATTTTAAGAATGAAAACAAATTTACATCATGCTGTTTGCATTCCCATATATCACTTATTGCAAAATCACTTCTGGATCATGATTTTCTGTGGATTGTTCTTATATTCCTATAAAAAGAAATATTATTCATTTCAGTCCATTCTTCTCCTATTCAAGAGATGGAAATAGATTTTTCTCATACCATGTTTGGCATAGTTATCATAGTTTGCTCCATCTCTCCAGTTATCAATGGGTATTTTACTACTTTCTTCTACCAAAAGAATTTCAATTGTATGTTTACTGCTTCATATTATCTTTTTTCTTTAAAAAAAGCATTAAAATTTAAAATCTTCCTTTACATGTTTACTTATCAGTCATCTCAACATACTGATTTCCTTTCTGAAGTTAACTTGCATTTATTCATTTATTTTCTTCTGCAGCCAATGGTCAAAAACTTTCTAAAAGGCATACTTAATTTGCATCCTCAAGTACCAAACCTGGTCTCTGATTGGATTTATTTTTGCCTTATTGATTTAATGAATAAATAGTTTGATCTGTTGGCAACATGTGCCGTAGATATATTATATTAGAAGTAAGTGCTTTGAATTGCTAAGGCTCATAGGAATAGTGAGTTATGTTCTTTAAGAATAGATATCCCATATATAACAGAAAAAGGGACTCAGTGGCTCAGTGGCTAAGACACTGAGTTTGCCGATCAAAAGATCGGCAGTTCAGTGGTTCGAATCCCTATGCCGCATAATGGGGTGAGCTCCCATTACTTGTCCCAGCTTCTGCCAAACTAGCAGTTCGAAAGCACGTAAAAAATGCAAGTAGAAAACTAGGGACCACCTTTGGTGGGAAGGTAACAGTGTTCCGTGTGCCTTTGGCATTTAGTCATGCCAGCCACATGACCACAGAGACGTCTTCAGACAGCGCTGGCTCTTCGACTTTGAAACGGAGATGAGCACCGCCCCCTAGAGTCGGGAACGACTAGCACATATGTGTGAGTGGAACTTTTATCTTTACCTTATATAACAGAAGAGTTTGATTGCCATATAACTAGAGCTAATCTTTTTATTGTTTTACAAATGAGAATATTGTCCTTTTCATCTTTTATCGGAATACTTTTTGCCAATTGGAGTTTTCCTCAGGAAAGTTGGTATATCATCCCAAATTTTCCCCCCAAATTTTTTCCCATCTACTCTTGATTTGTTAGCTAAGCATTTCTTCTGGCACATATCTGCTACTTTTCTGAAATACATTTCTTTGCCAAATCTGATTTGGGTAAAATAATGAACCTCCATTAGACTATTGGAGAAATGTTTAGGCAGAGAAGGATGCATTTTAGGAAAACAGACACTGATCCACCTCTGGACATTCAGTTTTCTTTTCCCTATCAGTGTGAATCATAAGAGACCACAGTCAAAAATAATTTATCATCTACAATAACTGCGATTTTTGAGTAGCCATCTGTGTATTTACATTTTGATGTTTTGCTGGGTTATTTTTCACTAAGGAGAACAGGTGTGCGCTTGCTGAGTTCCACCAAATTTTTCAGTTTTTAAAAGGTTGCTACTGAAGTACAGGTAGTTCTTGATTTATGACCAGAATAGAGCCCAAAACTTATGTGGCTAAATGAGACATTTGTTGCCCCATTTAATGACTTTTCTTGCCACAGTTGTTAAGTGAATCACTGCAGTTATTAAGTTAGTGACATGGTTGTTAAATGAAACTGGCTTCCCCGTTGACTTTGCTTGTCAGAAGGTCGCAAAATTTGATCACTTGATCCCAGGATGCTGCAACTGTCATAAATATGTTGACAAACATCCAAATTTGAATTACATGACTACGGGGATGCTGCAATGATTCTAAGTGTAAAAAATGGTCATGTGTCCCTTTACTCAGTGCTGTTGTAACATTGAACAGTCACTAAACTAATGGCTGTAAATTGAGGACTACCTGTAGTGTGACAATACCAATTTTCATCGGTGTGGATATACAGATCACCACTGATATCTCAGTTACAGGTAAGTAACCATTCTTATCTCTATCAAATTTTTCTATGTATCCTTCAGAATCCTTCAGCTGATGATGTTACCTAGTCTGGTAACGAAATGCTCAGAAACTAAATTGAAACAAGCTTGGAGAACAAAGCCACTGCCAAAATCTAAAACCCGAGCTACAAGTATTTTCTATTATTTCATCCTTCAGAATTTTCTAAATCCTCTGACTGGAAGCTGGCAAATGCAGAGCAACACCTTGTACAGAGACCAAACTTGCAACCACTTCAGAAGGTGAGTAATTGTGTGCCTTTGCTCACTCTCTATCTCCCCTCAGTGTTCATTGGCTAACCTCTTCAAAGCTGAGGCAGGTAGAATTACTCACTGATTAGAAATTGTTGAGAATATTCAGAGTTTGGGTTGTAGGTTTTGGCAGGGTTCTGTTCTCCGAGCTTGCTGTTTAGCTCCTAGACGTTTTGTTACCAAACTAGGTAACATCTTCACCGGGGTTTTGGGTGAAGTATCTCATCCAGTTTCTTCTCTGCTTATCTATGTCCTGTGTGGTGTTGTGGTCAGTTGGCCACGTGACCAGCTGTTTGTGGGGCACTCACTGATTCCTCTGTGGGAAGAACTGAAAGGAAGTGAACAAGATTTGTTGTAAGAAAGCAACCTGCTCCCTTAAGAGGTTACTTGAGGTCCCCTGACTTTTAACACAATTGTAGGCAATCTATAGCCCTCCAGATATTGCTACACTCCATGATTACCCAGTATGTGGTAATGATGAAAGTTCAAAAGCCTCTAAAGTTTTCACACCTCTGCTCTAACTAGTTAATTATCTTATTGGTGGTTCTCACTGATAGAGAACTTTATGTACTTCATGCTGATAAAGAGTTTACGAACCATCAGATGGATTTGTAACTGGCTGACAAATCTTACTCAACAAGTAGTCCTTAATGGTACTACATCTACATGGAGGGAAGTAAGCAGTGGGGTACAAAAGGTTCCGTCTTAGGCCCAGTACTCTTCAATATCTTCATAAACGACCTACATGAGGAAATAGAAGGGGAACTTACCAAATTTGTGGATGATACTAAGCTGGCAGGAATAGCCAACACCCTAGGTCAGTGATGGCGAACCTTTTCGGCACCGAGTGCCCAAACCAGAACACATGTTTTTGGGGCCATTTTCAGGATGTTTTGCAGGTGTTTTTCAGGCCAAAAGCACCCTGAAAAACAGTCTGAAAAACAGTCTGAAAAAGGCCCCAAATTCTTCTTTCAAGAAGAGACTGGACTGCCATCTGTCAGAAATGGTGTAGGGTTTCCTGCTTGGGCACAGGGTTGGACTAGATGACCTACAAGCTCCCTTCCAACTCTGTTAATCTGTTAAATCTGTTAACTTCCTGCATAATTTTTACAAATTCCAGCACTGCTTTTTTGGAATCGACAAGATGGAAATGTTCTATGGATGGATTCTAGTTGAAGGCCATTCAGTCAAAGTTCATATCCATAAGTTTTTTTTAAAGTGCCATAGACAAGAAAATTCTTATTTCTAAGCAAGCCCAGTCAAAAAGTTTTCTAACACTGCTCTTCATGGAACACATCACACAATTTTGATGAGCCATGATTGACAAATGTATTCTCAGTAAAGGAGAGGTGTTTTTTTTATTTTTTATTTTTGTCACTTAGCCATTCTATCTGCTGTGCAGGTAGGAAGATATAATTCATCACAGTTGAAGGAACATGCATGTGTGTGTGATTGGAGGCAGAAGAAAGGATATTGCATCCCTAGATGGAGTCAATCATTTATTTCGCCCTACTAGAGACTTCTTTTTATAGCGTCATTCTGGATCCAGCTAAAAGAATATATGGCAAAAATGAATGACAAAGCAGATGGTGGAATAGAAATAAGGACCCACTTAATTCAAATTTCTAGTTTGTGGCATTCTTGGGATTGAGGGGGAGCTAAATAATATGGGGCTACAAATGTAAGCCCATTTGGGCCAGACATGATGTTGATGTTACGCTTCAGTCATATCCAACTCTTGGCGATTTTATGGTCTGGGTCTCACTACATCTTCTGATCTTGCACTACTTCTTTGAGTTGTTCTATGCTCTGCTGGTGTCAGCTTTAATGGTGTCCAGCCAACTGTGTTCTTTATATATATATATATATATAATTTTTATTAAACAGTTTGTCTTTAAAAACAACACAAAAAACATAATATCGTCACCGCTACCGGCTTGGCGGAACCGGGCAGAACCGGGAGGAACCCACCACTGAGCGAGACATTTGTTAAGTGAGTTTTGCTTACTCACTTTATGAGTGAGTCACATTTTATGATCTTTCTTGCCACAGTTGTTAAGTGAATCATTGTAGTTGATAAGCTAGTAACCCAGTTGTTAAGTGAATCTGGCTTCCCCATTGATTTTACTTTTCAAAAGGTGATCACATGATCTTCGGACACAGCAATGGTCATAAGTATGAACCAGTTGCCAATCATCAGATTTGAACATTGGGCACTATCTAACAAAATGAAATTCAATGGTGAAAAAGTAAGGTTCTACATTTAGGCAAGAAAAACAAAATGCACAGATACAGCATATGTGGTAGTAACTGTGAGAGGGATCTTGGAGTCCTAGCGGACAACCATTTAAGTATGAGCCAGCAGTGTGCAGCAGCTGCCAAAAAAACCAACACAGTTCTAGACTGCATAAACAGAAGGATAGAATCAAGATCACATGAAGTGTTAATACCACTTTATAATGCCTTGGAACACTTGGAATACGGCAATCAGTTTTGGTCTCCACGATGTAAAAAAAGATGTTGAGACTCTAGAAAGAGCGCAGAGAAGAACAACAAAGATGATTAGGAGACTGGAGGCTAAAACATATGAAGAACGGTTGCAGGAACTGGGTATGTCTAGTTGAATGAAAAGAAGGACTAGGGGAGACATGTTAGCAGTGTTCCAATATCTCAGGGGCTGCCACAAAGAAGAGGGAGTCAAGCTATTCTCCAAAGCACCCGAGGGCAGGACAAGAAGCAATGGGTGGAAACTAATCAAGGAGAGAAGCAACTTAGAATTAAGGAGAAATTTCCTGAGAGTTAGAACAATTAATCAGTGGAACAACTTGCCTCCAGAAATTGTGAATGCTCCAACGCTGGAAGTTTATAAGAAGAGATTGGATAACCATTTGTCTGAAGTGGTGTAGGGTTTCCTGCCTGGGCAGGGGGTTGGACTAGAAGATCTGCAAGGTCCCTTCCAACCCTGTTATTCTATTCTATTCTATTCTATTCTATTCTATTCTATTCTATTCTACTCTACTCTACTCTACTCTACTCTACTCTACTCTACTCTACTCTACTCTACTCTATTCTATTCTATTTTTGATCACATGATCATGGGCTGATGCTACAAAGGTTGTAAGTGTGACAAATGGTCCTAAATCACTTTTTTCAGTGCCATTGCAACTTTGAACGGTCATGAAATGAACTGTTGTAAGTCAAGGACTTCCTGTAATCTACATCTACAAAACCTTCTTAGGAAGGCTCTTAACATAGAGGACAACGAAAGACCTGGGTTAATGCTGGCCTAAGACAGCCTTAAACAATTCCAGCATTTCCAAATAGCATACAGGATTTCTGAAGCATTCCTTCCTTTTCCAAAAAACCGTTTCAAAAAGAGGTGCAGTTGGGTGCGTCCACAAGTGCAGGCAAGTCAGCTGTATTTTTCCATCCAAGAGGGCCAACTTTTTAAGTACGAGATGTTCAGTTCAGTGTCAGTATATGGTACAATATGAGCCAACACCCTGTGTGTATTCTTCAGTAATCTAGAAGTGTTTCCCCATTCAAAGAAGGAATTGATTCGATTCCCCTCCCCAACTGGCTGTTATTTCCTTTTCTTTCTTCTCTCCACTTCCCCTATTGTACTTTGAGCTTTCTTTTTTCAGTTTAACATTTCTGGTGATGATTCAACGATGGGAGATAAAGCTAGACTTGGTGCTGCTTGAAGGCAAGGTGTGATCCGTAAATCTTGGTGGTTGACACTAAGTAAAATAGAGGCATTCCTTAAAAAAGGAAAGACTTCTGTATCACTGGGACTCATCCAGTTTAGGGATTAGAGCTATAAATTAACTCCTCGGTCTAATTTCAAAATCTCTTTATGAGCAGTCAGTTTAGATTACTGTCCCTTTCCCAACAACCCAGTGGGAATGGAGAAAGAACAGAGGGAAAGAGATGGGAAATGAGTTGGCAGAGGAGATTAACCTGTTCATATTTTGCTTTGGACTCGCCAAAATTGACTTTGACTCAAGTATTTATCGTGAGACCCACAACTGATTCTCTTGAAGGAATTTAGTTATTAATAACCCCTCCCCCAAAATGGGTTCATGTCTGGCCGTGATTTATCTTACACTTTTAATTCAGATTGAAATAACTGACCTGCTGAACTGAACTGAGACTTTCGAGATGAGAATTAGCTTGTGTTTTTGAAAATATCCACAATGTTGTAATATGGAGTTCTTTGGTTTAACCAAGGCCACATCTAAGATATTTCATTCCATTTCTTTCTATAATTGTCCCATGTTCCCATTATGTAATGCAGAAAACACTTAAAAAGTCTTTCAGAGTGGGGAGAAAAAGAGAAAGAGCATTAAATGAACTAGTTGTGAGAAATAGGTTGAGTGAAAGGTAAGTAAACACAGAATGAAATAATGGTAATGCAGGTGAACTTCAGAATTCTGAAGTCTTTCATCTATCTATCTATCTATCTATCTATCTATCTATCTATCTACCTCTATCTACCTACCTACCTACCTACCTACCTACCTACCTATCATCTCCTAGTATATCTATCTATCTATCTATCTATCTATCTATCTATCTATCTATCTATCTATCTATCTATCTATCTATCATCTACCTACCTACCTATCTACCTATCATCTACCTACCTACCTACCTACCTACCTATCATCTTTCTTTCTACCTACCTATCATCTACCTATCATCTATCTATCTATCTATCTATCTATCTATCTATCTATCTATCTACCTACCTACCTACCTACCTACCTACCTATCATCTCCTACAGTATATCTATCTATCTATCTATCTATCTATCTATCTATCTATCTATCTATCTATCTATCTATCATCTACCTATCATTACCTACCTACCTACCTATCATCTTTCTTTCTACCTACCTATATCTATCTATCTATCTATCCTATCTATCTATCTATCTATCTATCTATCTATCTATCTATCTATCTACATATCTGCCTAGCATCCATC